AATTTCTTCTTCATTTCCTTTTTACTGTATACTTTACTTTACTATTCCGATTTAATATTTGGTAATGTAAATATATAATTGTATATAATATTTTGACTGTATATTTTATTCACTTCACTTATAAATAAATTATGGTTATGTAAATATTATTTTTATTGCGTTACGATTTTAAACTTTAATTCAAATTTAATTCTGAAAATCGTACGGACGCATACATTTTTTCCCGTGCTATTAGTTTTGTCGGTATATTTCATGTGATGCAGGGAATTTTCTCTGATATTGTGAGCTGTATTTTTAATATCTTGAATCTTATTCGGTATCGTGAGCTTTATCTATGATTTCTTTATCCGTGATTTATTTTCATGTGTCACACCTCTCGCTTCTGATTGAATGTGCTTTATTCGCTGCTTGGAGTATTATCTTACATCTGGTTTTTTGATGTTGTCAGCTTGTGATTTATTTTCACCTGAGGTTTGATATACTCTTAGCTTATATTTTTCTTTCTGTGGCTTTAAACCCCAAAGGAATGGGAACATAGTATTAACTTCATCGTGTCAAGTACTGGTTTCTTATTCGGTCGGATTCTCTTTACCTTACCGTTCACCTCCCTGTACATAGGACATTATTTTCTCTCTTTCTTTAATTTTCAAAACCTTCTCATCTTTTTTCAAAAGCTTTTTGTTTATAAACTTAACTGCTTTCATAATAAACTTGGACTTATGTCCATGCATTTTCAAAAATTATTTCTTAATCAAACTTTAATAAACTTAATAATACCTTGACATTTTTGTGAGAAGACTAAAAGTTAATCAATCTCATTCAAACCATTTTTCCATTTTGACTTTTGCTTTAAAAAATTTCTCAAAAGATTAGACTCTTGTCAATCTTTGTAGTGATGTAAACAACTATACTTCTACAATATATAGTGAAGAGAGATATTTTCCACTTGAGTGCTGAGTGAGACTTTGTTGATTTTAAAATCTAAGCCATATCCTCCACTTTGAGATGATGCAAATTCTCCTTTCTCATGATTGTGGGTAGTAAGTATGTTTTTCACACGGACAATAACGATGATGTCTTATCTCATAAAATTAACCAACACACATGTGTTTTAAAATTTTTAAAGGTGAACTACGTGTACCCTGATCCTCTATTGCACGAAAGGTGGTACGTAGACACTAAAGGTTCGTAACCACGGCGGGTACAAAAAATCATAAAAAATACTTCTTTTCTCACCTCCACCATCTATTTTTTATACAATATTTTATGGCCAAAATATACAGATTTTTTCAAAGAGGTTCTTGCGGAGTACCATAGATGTTTAGGGTGCTAATACCTTCCCTTTGCATAACCAACCCCCTTACCTTGAATCTTTCCCCCTCTTTTGGGTTATTCACTCTTTTCTCATTCCTTTGGAAATAATAAAGTGCGGTGGCGATTTTTATTTTGATCTGTATAAGTCTAGTCAATTCAATGGCTTTGTCTTAAATATTTCTACCGCTACAGTATCTTGATATTGGCAATTTCCTATAACATCTAAGAAACCTTGGTTTTGATCTCTTTAGATCACCTATGTTTGTATGCATTAGAGACTACAACTTTTACAAGTTGTCATGACACTTGAGCATGTCACATCAATGACATTGCTTAGGGTTTAAAGTTCATGATGGATACTTTATGAGGGATCATGCCACTGACCTATAACATATAAGTATCATTCTCCCTTATTTCATTTTATCTTTATCAACTTCATTTGGTTTAATACAAATGTTTCCATCCTTTATGATGATGATTATCAAACCTTGTGACCTTGCTTGTGTATGAAGGTTCATCTTCATATTATGTTACTTTTGAACTTCATCTTAAATTAACTTATAACACAAGTTACACATGTCATAATTATCAAATTATGATCTCTTCACTTCATCTTTACTCTTTCAACTTAAACTTGTAAGTTCTTATCTCTTTGCATAATCTCTTTTATATGCCATGTGTGAAATATTTCCATGACTTGTAGCATTTAAATATGGTTTGTTAGAATGCATATGCTACTGACTTGTATGCTCCCCCCCCCCCCTCTAAGCATTTCCCATTTTCATCTATCCTCTTCTTGATTCTTCCTTTGCTTTAGTGTTGATTTAGGGTGTTGTTTTGACTTAGTCTTGTGCTAGCTCTTGAGTATGCTTTAGTAAGGTTGTCTTAGGGTTTCATGAAACTTTTTAGTACATTAACATTGTGTATTTTCTTCTGACTTCACACATACTTGACACATTACACCATGATTGTCCAGTCACACACTTACTTGCACTTTACTTTACAACTTTGTTTTGACCTAGTTTGTATGCTTTGTTTTGAATTTTACATTCTTATGAGAATAGGAGATAACCACTCATAACCTCTCATTTTGAATTATTTTAAATCTTTTATATTTTATTAAAAAATTAAATTAAATATATTTTATAAATATTTCAAGGAAATCCAATTGCTTACCAAACAAATAGATAGGAATAAAATTCATGATAATAATGTTCTAGTGAATAATATTCTCATGATTATAATTGTAATCCTTTAAACAAACACACCCCAAGAGTTCTCATATGATTCACAATGCAAATACATTTTTTCCATGTTCTAAATATTTTTCTCAGGTTTCATTTTAAATAATTCATAAGTTAATGTGTTCGTTCTAGCCTTTTTACCTCATTTATCCCTTCGTGGGTAACTTGAAGGGTATCCATATTTCTTTTGTAGTCTCGCATTGATAAATGCATAAAACATCTTAAATTACAAGAGAGGTAGTGATAATAGTTTTAACTTTCAAAATAAACTTCATTTTTTCCTTTTTTTTTTCTTTTACCCAAAGGATGAAGGACTATTTAGTGAATCATTTTAAGTTATTCCTACCTCCTGAGACGATTATTTTTATAATAAGAGTTAGACTCTAATGTCACTTGTTAATCAAGTGAATTTAAACACAAGAATGGGGTGAAATATGTTATTTGAAATTCAAAAATAATTTATAAAACTTTAGTCTTTAAAATGATTATATTATATTTAATAAGAAAATAGAGATATGACAGCACAATGATAGAAATAAGACGGGGAAGAGGATATACAAACAATGAAAATAAAATATACAATAAAAAATACAGGAAGAAGAGATAGAAAAAGTGTATCATATATGTATACAGGTTCAGTTTAACCACTTGACCTACTCATGTTCTCAAGAGTTTCTATCTAGAGAGTTTCACTAAAATCAGACTCGAGCTTTTTACAGAATCAACCAACGAACCTTCAACTACAAACAAACAAAGTATTTAAACTAACTCAATAACATTCACTCAAGTTTTTTTATGGTTTATCTTGCAACCTTTAAATCCTTTACAAATATAATTCACAATAAAATCACACTTTTGAATAAAGCAAATTAAACACAACCTCAATTACCACATAACTCTCAAAAGGACTTTTCAGTCTTTCAGCACTACAACAATTCTCGTGAAAAAGTAATTTTGAAAATAGAGAGAGTAGAAGAATAATAGAGAGATTTTCTATTCAAAATCTAGTGTAAAATGATGTAAGAAGAAGTCAACTTTATACAAAAAAATTGTTGTCTCAACAAGGAAATAATCTATGAGGTAAATTAATTGATCTAACCAATTAATACATATTTTAATTGATTAAAAGGATTCAAATGGAGGCAATCCTAATCTTGAAAAGAAAATTCTAAAAATGTCGTATGAATTAATCAATTAATGACTTTTCTAATCGATTATATGGTCTTTTATCTTACTTTAATCGATTGGACAAAATCCTTAATCAATTAGGCAGTGGATTAACTTTCTTAATTGATTAAAAATACTTCTTAGTCAATTCTATACGTACCTTGATAGGTTTTAAAAAGTTCGAATAAAAATAGAGAGTTTGAAAAGATTATGTGTGTGTATGTGATAACCTTACTACTTCAAGATTTAATCTTGACCTTTTACGATTTAAATCAATCACTTTTAGAGGGTAAGTGCAGGACTAGACGAGTTTCCACACTTTCTCTCTTTCAAATTTCAAGATACTCTACTTGATTTAATGATTGATTAGCACTTTAAATAGATCTTTGAATTATCTGACTGATGAGACTTGAGGTATCTTCTAGATTAGATGTCATCATCATGAGTTTACTAGATAGTTACAATCAACTTTCCCTTTATCAATTTTCACAAAAAACTCTTGAAAGAAACCATCAACATCCAAAACTCATTTGACTTATAGAGTTGTTTTCTTCAAAAACTACTTGATAGATATATCATCAATTGTCATCATCAAAATCAATTAAAAGTTATACTTACACAACACGTATATCCCCACAACCGGCTTAGACTAAAAAATAATTCACCCAATCTCAACAAAATTAGACAACGATGAAATAAACCAAGATTCAAACCCTTTTATACACAAATCTACCAAACATTGCACCAACGGCTAGATAAAAGATATATGTCAAGGTTCAAACCCTACTCATAGAAGAACCATTCAGTTTGGACCACATTCTCTAATACTGTAGTGACCAGAAAACTAAATCCCTCTCAAATTCTCTACTCACAAAGTTAGAGAGGAATTTTATTTTATTTTCCCCTAATAAATTTATCTTTACTAATTTATGTTTTTTATTTAAAAGTGTAAATTTAAAAAACTCATTATTTGTGGAAAAATATATTGAACATGCAAATAATCTTGTGATAACTTCTCTATAAGCTTCCAATAAAAAAAGAAGTATGCTATATGAAGAGACATATTTTTCTTTCAAGCAGGAAAGAATAAATAAAGAGTTACACATAGTTTATAGCTTTTCTATTACATATGTCTCACTAAAAATGTCCGATACTTGGATTAGACAATGACTCCTCTAGGAATCTTAAAGTAAAGAAAAGGTGAGAGAAAGAGAAAAGTGTAACCCTTTAAGCTTGCAATGTCTCGCATTCTCAAATCTCAACTATAAACTTGTCATGTGGCTAGTTAAAATGATATTGCACCAAATGGATATGATTGAAAGAAGATTTGGAGATGAAAAGAGCAATCTGTTGGATGAGTTTGAGAGAGACTCCTTCGAGGTGCACGCGGCGCAGCTAAACAGAGCTATGCTGCGACGAAGCCTATCGGAACCAGGGCTGCAAATGTCACAGACACGGCTCATTGACATGGCTCCAATACCTCTGGTTAATCAGGTGATGCAAGGGCCTCATCATGGTAATGGGCTAGGGTTTCGTTGTGTGATGAAGAAATTTCTCAAACCTATTTTTGGTAAGAAGAAGTACTTGAGAGGAGGAAGAAAACATGTATCATCGGATCCTAAGGATATTATGTTTTGTAAGGTCTTTAGCAGATCACTGCGATTCTGATAAATATGGCAACTAAAGCATTATTTAGTATCTTCTATCTATTTGTTATTATCTATGATCTATCTACTATATATGATCTAAACATAGGCTATTATAATTTCATAAAGTGTTTATACAATGTGTCTACATAACACTATGGAGATATTGGAATTCATGCACCAGTTGTACTACACCTATCCTCCGGAGATATTGGATATTGGAGAAACTTATAGCGAGTTACTCCTTTCTCCATCATATAAAAAGTTTCATATTTGAACAATGCATGGCTTTTAAAAATATAATTAGATATATTGATTTTAATGATAAAAATAATATTATTTACTAGAATACCTCCTATTGTAGTTAATAGAATAGTTAAATAAAATGAAAGTTAATAAATAAAAAATATAGTAGTGGAAAATAATAATAAATCACTACTAAAAAAATGACATTTGAGAAAAGGTTTTTACATCAGGTATCAAAATATATGATGTAAAAAATACCATTAAAAACATTTTACATCAGGTATTTATTTGCAATGATATAAATAATAAGAAAAAAATATTTTTCGCTATCTATTACATCGGGTCATGTCATCCACCGATGTAAAAGATTTTCTGAAAAAAATACGGTGGCATTTTTGTAAATAAGAAACAAGGTGACAGAATTGTAAATAAAAAACAAGCAAGATATTACATCGGGGTAACTAAAAACCGATGTAAAAAGTTCACAGGCAGATTGGTAATATATAAAATATATTAAAAACCTTACATCGGGGAATAATGAAAACCGATGTAAAAAAATTAGAGGCCCAAACACTTACATCGGGGCATACGTTCAACCGATGTAAAAAACCCCTTACATTGGGCCTTCTATCAACCGATGTAAAAAACATCAGAAAAACATGCTTGCATCGGGCCAATGTTAAAACCGATGTAAAAACGACAAAGGCCCAAACCCTTACATCAGTCCGTGGTTTCCACCGATGTAAAAAGGTATATATATTATTCATATTATTTCCTAAATGCACATTATTTCCACTGTACAACTTCTCTCACGGATACGCCGCCCCTGTTCACGCCTCACTGTTCACGTCTCCTCGTCGCCGATTCACGCCCTTCACGTCTCCTCGCTGCCGATTCACGCCCTTCACGACTCCTCGCCGCCGATTCACGCCCTTCACGACTCCTCGCCGGCCGTTTCGAGCAGAGGAAATACTATCTACAGGCAAGCTTATTACTCTCACTACACTTTAAGTATATTTGTTTTGTTTCAGTTAAATAAAATTTTGGTTATGGTTGGAGTTGTCCGCTCTACATCATGTGCTATCTTCTAGAAACACATGCTCTACATCATGTGCTATCTTCTAGAGACACATGCTCTACATGCTCTACAGGGCTCAACAATTCAAAACCTCACTTGGGATTTATGCCGCACTGGAGTTGTGCATTCCCAAGAGCTTTCAAGAATATTAAATGTCTTGGTGGGTTAGGCTACCAACCTTGAGCAAGAGTGAACCCTCTTGATCCAAAAGCCCTGGCTTCCATCTAGTCATGCATTTTTCTGTGACTGTGCAACTGTGTAAGTGGCTTTGCAATTGTATCAATCAAATAGTAGAAACAACGGTGCTACACCACTTTTGTGCTGGGGTTTTGATGAATCTGCAATGAAAACTTCAATCCTGTATCCTTGTTCCACGACATCAACCGCTTTAGCTTTTTCAGTTAAAAGGCATAACAACAAAAAGATGATTTTAGGGTTTTTCCTTTTCTTTTTGATAATAGAACTTAAGAGTCTGCACAAGACTTCTGTTTAGAATAGCACTACCTCTGTCCTTAAGTATAAGATCTTTTTTCTCCTTTTTTCCCTAACATAATGTAGTACATAAGTTATTCAGAAAGCGCGTAATGTCAAAATATTACATTGGTGTTTTAGTTTCTAAAAGTTTTTAAGATATTCTTGTTTCTTTGTTTGTTACTGAGATTCATTATAAAAAATTAGAAGTACGTAGAAAAATAATTAGAAGATTATACTATGAATCCATTACTTTGTTCATATATGTTTTTTAATTACTAAACAGATTATTATTATTAGAGAGGTTAATTAAGTCTAATTAGTTATAAATAGTATATATTTTATATAAAGTTAAGAATATAGTACATGTTTTGTATAATTAGTCATTCTTTTTCATTAGAGAAATTGTCTATTTAGAAACCTCCGAAAAAAGTGTTAATGGTCCTCTCAGAAACACACAGTTTATCTGTAACCTATCAAACTTAATAGAGTTATCACCTTGCCATTGAAATTTGATTCTATTTTTCTTTCTCCGCGAAGCAGCGCAACTTGCAATCTCAGAATCTCTGTGAAGTAGCGAAGCCGCGAGCACACCGTTCGTCAGACCTTCCTCCGTGTGCACATAGTTATGGATCGTAGTTGGATGAGAGCTAATCGATTAAGTGACGAGTACGAACATGGAGTGATGGAATTTCTACAGTTTGCTGAAAGTAATACTGAAAAAAGTCTTCCTACGCTTTTTCTCTGTCCATGTGTTCGTTGTGCAAATAAAGAACCAAAACGTAGTAAGAAAGAAATCATGGATCATCTAATTTGTGTAGGGATTTGTCAAAGTTATACATAATGGATATGGCATGGTGAAGTAGTAGCAAAGACAAATGTGTCTCAAAGAGATGATGTTAGTGTAGAAATGGATGATCGTCTAGAAGACATGATGCGTGATATTGGACAAGATTCGTTTAAGAGAGTACATACATATGATACTATATGCAGTGACAAGGATAAACCATTGTACCCGGGATGCAAAAAATTTACACGTCTGTCAGCCGTGTTAAAATTATTTAATCTGAAAGAAAAGAATGGGTGGACTGAAAAAAGATTTACCGAGTTTCTTGAATTGTTGACCGAAATGCTTCTAGAAGGTAATGTAATGCCAAGTCGTTATTACGAGGCGAAGAAAATATTGTGTCCGATGGGTTTGGAGTATGAAAAGATACATGCATGCCCTAATGATTGCATATTATACAGAAAAGAGTATGTAAACTATAATCATTATCCGAAGTGCAAGGCTTCACGCTACAAAAAGAAAGATGGTGAATCAATTGATGATGAGGTGGTCAAAAAGGGTCCTTCTGCGAAAGTGGTATGGTACCTACCAATAATTTCAAGGTTCAAGAGATTATTCGCCAATACAGATGACGCAAAGAATCTTAGATGGCATGCAGAAGAAAGAAAATATGATGGACAAATTCTTCATGTAGCTGATTCTTTGCAATGGAAGAACATAGATTCTTTGTTTCCAAATTTTGGCAAAGAGTTGAGAAACCTTAGACTTGGACTTGCTACTGATGGAATGAATCCGTTTGGTAATCTGAGTACTAACCATAGTTCTTGGCCTGTTCTCCTGATGATTTACAACCTATCTCTTAGGCTGTGCATGAAGCGTAAATATATTATGTTATCGATGATGATATCGGGCCCAAAACAACCAGGAAATAACATAGACGTTTATCTAAGTCCACTGATTGATGATTTAAGAGTGTTATGGGAGGAAGGGGTGGATGTTTTTTATGCGTATTCTGGCGAACAGTTCAATATGCGTGCCATGTTATTTTGCACCATCAACGATTTTCCGGCATATGGTAATTTGTCTGGGTATAAAGTTAAAGGGCATAATGCGTGTCCTATATGTGAAAAAGACACTTGTTACCATCATATTGAAAAAGGAAAGAAGACTGTTTATCTCGGGCATCGAAAATTTCTAAAACGTTATCATCCATATCGTAGATTGCGGAAAGCTTTCAATGGGGAACAAGAGCATGGTGTTGCTCCAAAGCCGTTGTCTGGAGAGGAAGTTTATCAGCGACAACAGGGACTTGATGTTGTCTTTGGAAAGTACCAAAAACGATCTACTGTGAAAAATGTATGGAAAAAGAGATCGATTTTCTTCGATCTTCCATATTGGTCTAGTCTTGATGTAAGACATTGTATTGATGTGATACATGTGGAGAAAAATGTATTTGATAGTGTAATCAGAACACTTCTCAACATTCAAGGCAAGACAAAAGATGGTATTAATGCTCGTCTGGATTTGGGTTTGATGGGTATACGAGAAGAGTTAACTCCACAATATATAGGTAACAAGACATATTTGCCTCCTACCTGCTACACTTTGTCTAAAAAAGAGAAAACAAGTTTTTGTGAGTGTTTACAAAGTATCAAAGTGCCGTATGGTTACTCATCAAATGTCAAGAGGCTTGTATCATTTAAAGACCTTAAATTAGTTGGCTTAAAATCTCATGAATGTCATGTCTTAATGCAACAACTACTACCATTGGCTATTCGTGGAATATTTCCTAACAACGTTAGGAAGACTATAACTAGGTTGTGCTTATTTTTCAATGCAATTTGTTGTAAATCCATTGATCCACTAAAGTTAGACGATTTGGAAAATGAGGCTGCAGTTATCTTGTGCCAATTAGAGATGTATTTTCCTCCTTCATTTTTTGACATTATGGTTCACTTGATTGTTCATCTAGTAAGGGAGATTAGATTATGTGGTCCAATTTTTTTACGGTGGATGTATCCAATAGAGTGATACATGAAGATTCTAAAAGGGTATACAAAAAACCCACACCGCCCGAAAGCATCGATTATTGAGAGGTACATTGCAGAAGAAGCAATTGAGTTTTGTTCTAACTATTTGTCAGGAGTGGATGTTGTAGGGGTTCCCAAGTCTCGTCATGATGGAAGATATGAGGGTGTGGGTACACAAGGTTTAAAAGTCAAGAGCGTAATTATTGATGTGGTTGTTCAAGAACATTTGTATATATTGAATAACATAGATGAAGTTCAACTTTACTTATCTGCTCACAAAAGCATCATAAAGAAAAAGTACCCCAAGATGAATGAAACAGGGTTGTTAAAAGAGCATAATAAGAGTTTCTCTGAGTGGTTTAAAGGAAGAATTGCTAATGAAGATAGTGTTTATAATAAAATTAAGTGGT